TCATCAATGGCGTCGTTTGTGAGAAATTGAGAACAAACTCAATCCCTTACTATTTTATTTCTCCATCTTCAAGCTTATCTATGGCCGACAATCATAAAACTCGATATGTTTTACACTATTTGATTTTGCCGATCCCAATGCTCGTTAATTGACATCCTCCAAATACGACGACCATCGAAAGGTTGGTAGAGGCATGCACATATCAATATAGAAGTAGATAAGGTCTTTAACCACTATATTGTGAACATGTTAGATGCAATAAACACTTTTGCATACACCACTTCTAAATACTTTGGTCCCACCACAAGTTTTATCACATATAAACCCATCTCGACAAAATAGACCAACCCGACACTCGATTAAAGAAGAAACAAGAGAAAAAAATGTTATTGTTCTTTAAAACTGCTAAAAAGTCACTCTTATCGCCATGGTAAAGAATCGGCTAACTAGGGATCCGTAGGGAGAGGAAGAGAGATGATAGAATCAAGTACCATTACAAAGCCAAAAACATGCATAACACTACATAAATCAACATAAAAGACAACACAAAAGTAGCTCCTTGTCATTCTAAACCTTTTTAGTAAGCCCCAAATGCCAATGGGTGGATAAAAGACATGCAGCTACCACCTAGCCTCGAATAAGATCATTACCAACCTAAGCTCTAGGTCTTTCCACTCGCTCCTCACATCTTCAATGTTAGACTCTTAAAAGATTTTTTTGTTGGAGAAATGAATTTGGATGTGTATTATGGCATGAAAGATCCTCGAGAACATATAAAAAACATTTAGAGAAATCTAGAGCTACTCATATAGAGCTCATATGCCATATACAAGGTGCTTTCCACCACTTTTCATGAGGTGGTAAAGATGTGATATAATAACTTGGACACCGAAGTGGTAATCGGTCTTGAAGATCTATGACCTAAGTTGATGGATTGCTTCTCCACCAATATTTCCATTAAAAGAAACTCTAGTGACTTATTTTAGTCTCCCAAAGAGAGGGAGAAAATACTTGAGCCTATCTTTCTTACTTCTATAAGGAAATATTATGGGTTGATAGCTTATCGGAACCCATAACAACTCGAGCCCTCACATCAAGATTTATCGACACTATGTTATGGAAGAAAATCTACATTCTTCCTAATAGAAACCTCAACCAACAAAATAAGATGGTAGAGAGCCATTACAAGTGGAAGAAAGGTAATAGAAAGGAAATTAAAAAGTCGATAATTGAAAGGTATCTCAAGCAATTCATAAAGACAAAAAGGCCTAAGTTACACAAGGCCAACGCTAGGCGTAACCCTTAAGAGGAAGATTTCTCTTAAATTAATGTGATTTTAGGCAAGCCCCCTACTACGAAAAAACCAATAAAAGAAAAAAAGACATCTCCTAGTCATCATCATCATACGAAACCTCATGTCTTAACAAAAACCCATCACTTTCACTTGTACGAATGTAAAAGAAATAACCTTCCCTCATAAAAACATCATGGTAATCTTGACAATAGTTTTTAATGATAAAATCCATCGCATCCTAGTGAATCCTGGTAGAGCCATCAATATTTTATCAAAGAAAGCCTTTGACTTAATGAAAATAAATTCCTTAAAACTCTAACTAGTTGAGACTCCTTTAAAAAAGATAGAGGAATGACAAATCCCAATAGAGAGCGAAATTCGAGTTCTAGTGACCATAGGTGTCTCCACCTAAAGTGTCATACTACTCCCTACATTCATGTTTATAGAGATGAATCTAGCATACAATCCTATATTTGAAAGACCTATCTTCCATAAAATAAATGCTACCATTAATACTCATTACTTGTCCCTATAAGCCCCAACACCTAAAGGAATAACTATAATTAGGGAAGGTCAAATGAACTCTTAAAAGTTATCCTCATTTAGTATGAAGAAAGCTAAAAGCATATATGACTTGGGATAAGAAAAAGATTAGGCGGGAGATGTTGAGGATTCAAAGAAAAAAGAAGAACAGCTACCGGTTCAAAGCCTCTAAGCATGTCATGAATCTTAACAAAAGCTCGTATGTGTGTGTGTGTGTGTGTGTTTTTCAGCAATTAGTATGATTGAACACCAAAGCACACTCCTTCTAAAAACATGCAATTATTTCTTTATTAGAAACGTTGTAACCCATAAAATTTTTAATAAAAATAGATAGAATTTTACCTTGTCTAGGTAGAAAGGCACTTTGATAATTCTCGTAAAACCAAGACATTTAATAACTTCTAAAACATAGCTAGAAATAAGAAGTTCCTAAGGTTGTAAAAGGTCGTGGTTATTACTATCTTGTATATATATAAAGACATATCTTGTTTAGGTCTAAAGGCACTATATATCATTCTACGAGTTGAAAATCTACTCATTATTCCAAACTAGGATTATTACTTTACTCGAGTCTAAAGGCACACCTTGTCTAGGTTTAAAGACACCATGATCGTAAAAAAAATTAAAAAAAATACAAAATGAAGGGTGAATATCATCCCTTCAAAGCATAGCCAACAATCTAAAAATTCAAGACTTTAATATTTATGGTATATGCCTCATCTAGGCCTAAATAGATGCCTTGTCCAAGTATAATAGCACCATAAATCTCTCGAAGATCAAACAATTCTTAAAAAGGCAAGGGAATGTTAAATCCCATTAAAAAAAAAGATACTTTGAAGAAAGAATAAAACAAATTTCATTAACCAAAAATAAGGATCACAACTCACCCTATAAGACTAAAGCCAATGGTCATGAATTTTATAAGATCTAATCTATCTTGACCAAGTTAACAACATTTTCCCAAAGAACTTAACAACACTTTTAAGAAATTTTTAAGAAGAAGGGTGAGAAGAAGCAACATGGTCAGCATCATCTCTAAAATTTTCTTCATAAAAAAAAGGCAAGAGTACCATAAACAACTTCAGCTTTGAGTGCCCCACCCCAAATAGGAGCAGAGAGTAAATTTGACTCCTTAGCCTTTCCGGACGCATCACCAAGAGAAAGAACCATTAAAAAATCATTTCCAAGAATATATCATCCTTCCTTAGCAACAATTGTATTATAAGGATATTACTCCTCAAAATTAAGTTCATTAAAGAACACGAAGAGGTCAATGTCTACGTTCCTAATTTTGTTAAAGAAATATACATGCTTTATGATCTTCAATAATCGTTCAAGACAAAGCTAGAGAAGCCTAAGAGTTCGTTTAAATTTATTATAGAACTCTCCGAGATGATTTCTAATTTTCCTTAGAGAGTTTTTCCCTCTTCAAAGCAATGTCTATCTCTTAGACAACAATTGCCGACCTAGCCCTCATCTCTTTTACCTTAGAAGTGGTAACTCTTTTAATTTCTTTTAGCTTCTTTGCCACTACCAACTCGAAGGAATAATAGCCCTTATCAGTAAAGGTTTTGGCCAATAAGTCATTCATTTCTTTTAAACTACCTCCATCTTTATATAAAGAGATAACATCTTTTCGTTCTTTTCCTAGATGGGAGTACTATACCATTATACCAAGTTAGTAGTAGTGGACACCTCATTTTCTTAGACATTCTACTTATGAAGTCCATAAATTTGTGCCTAAAAGGCCTATGGACATTCCTTTGTCGACACCATAAAGGTAAAATTCAAAATAAAAAAATAAAAAAATAAAAAAAGTATTTACAACCAAAGTTAGTTGTATGGCTCCTATCATGTTGTTGATTAACAAACAACCCTCCAAATTTGGCAAGGCTTTAAAAAGCAATGAAGCCTCGCCTAAACAGATGAATGAGTTCCTTTCCTTCACTACTCCATAAGTAGGATCAATCTCCAAAAAGATTCCTCTTTAAATGGGACTCTTTTGAAGAAAAAAGACAAACAAACCCTAATACTTAAGCAATAAAGGGATCGATGACTCTAAAAAGTCTTTAATCAATAAAAAAAAACTAAAAATAAGTTTTGTAATTAAGCACATCGGGGTTGAATTACCCTCTTAAGATGGAGAAAAATCCTCTTCACCAAGCCGATGTACATCTATTAAAAAGGAAGCAGTCACTTCTATTGAAGGAGGAGTGGCCTAGGCCATAGGTTCGGTGGTGGACAAAGGCTTCAAACCTTGCATTGATGAAGCATCTTCCGAGCCAATAGTAAACGAATTAATCCTCCTTTAATTATTCATATAGGCTTGGACTCTACCATTTTAAACATGCCACCTATGCTTCTCATCTAATCTTAGAAAGCTAAATTAGCATTCGATTATATTTAATGAAGGCATGACTTCTTGAAATGTCTCTGTCACATCATCATTAGACAACTACCATCCACTAAAGATATTCCTAAACCTTTAAGTGCATATCAAGAGTTATCGAACATAGAAAAAGAGACCAATCTACCTTGTACTTTATACAAGTTGATCACACCCTTATTCGATGTAAAGGTTGGCACATTAAGTGCTATAATTCTACTTTCTAAACTCAAAATAGATATAAATATTATATATCTTCTCTATATAAGAGTAAATTTTCTAAAAACTTACTTAGACCATTTGCTGCTCTCTATAAGCTAAATACTAAAAGATGACTTGTTTTACCAATACTCATTATTGATTTAACATATAATAAAATATAAAAACCACATAATCAGTTCAAATTAAAAACCATCCAACCATTAATCTTAATCTGTTAAGCATAGCCTTATCACATAACACCTAGTTATATATGGTTTAGAATCGTTTTCGTTCGATGTCTTCACCGAAGATTAACTTTGAATGAAACTATTTCAAATGATGATGATGATAAACATCTGTTTCGAAAAAAGTAAAAACCATTTTAGAAAAAAAAGTTGTTTACAAAAGATATTGCATGACTAATGTTAAAAGCAGAGTAGAAAATGCCAAGTTCACTCATCAGTCATCACAAAAAGATAGATCCCTTCCTTGTCCTCCAAGCCTTGGCTGCATTTAAACAAGTCAAATGTGCGTCTTTGTGTTTACCTTGAGAACCAGAATTCTGACACTTCCACCATGGGTACCAAAATCTTGACCTCTTCTAGCCATGGCTTTGAGAATGAATGCAAAGAGATTCATGATTCTTGGGGAAGGTTAAACGGCCAGTTGGTTCGATCATTGGCTGGCAGGTCGAATCTTGAAAGGCAACAAATTAGAGAGACTTACAAGGCCATGTATGGAGAAGATATGGCAATTCTTCTCCAAAAGATGCAAGGCCAATTTGGAGAAAAAGTTTCTGCAGCTTTATTCATGTGGATGGTAGACACACATGAACGGGATGCTATTGTCGCAAGGGAAGCTTTTAGACAAGGTGACGCTAACTACAAGGCTCTTGTTGAGATTTTTGTCGGTCGAAAATCAAGTCATATTGTGCTCATCAAGCAGGCTTATTATGCAAGATTTAGAAGGCATTTAGACCAAGATATTATCAATCTTGAGCCACCACACCCATACCAAAAGGTAATCTTGTTCAATTTTAAATATTATATCAAATGATAAATAAATCTATGATTCAAGAATATGAATAGCATTTTCTGCATGTGCTTGATATCTGATATGTGAAAATGAATTTTATGGTGCAATGGTTTTGTAGATTCTTGTAGCATTGGCTGCATCACACAAGGCACACCAGGTAGATGTTAGCCAACATATTGCAAAATGTGATGCCAGGAGGCTGTATGAAGCTGGGGAAGGGAGTTCACCAGGAGCAATTGAAGAAGCTGTTGTGCTTGAGATTCTGAGTAAAAGGAGCATTCCACAGATGAAATTGACCCTTTCTAGCTATAAACACATTTATGGACATGAGTACACAAAGGTAAACTGTGGCAAGTTTCTTAGACTTCACACCATCCTTGGCTTAGTACTTAGTTTTCTGTGTTTAACTGTCATATTCTGAGTATGTGGTTTCTTTTCGTAATTTGGACCCTATTTTGCAGTCACTTGCAAATGGAAACTACATGGAATTTAAGGATGCACTTAAAATAGTCATAAAATGCATGTGCAATCCACCTAATTATTACGCAAAGGTAAATTGATTATTTTCTCTAATGTATAGAATTTGGACAATTTCAATCTTACTTGCTATTCTGCAGTCCCTCTGCATAAAAAACTCACGTTAATCCTTTAAGCACAATTTTATGGCTGTTAAAACACTGTTTCAGGTATTGTATGCAAGTATTAAAGGGACCGCGGCAGACAAGGGTGCCTTGGCACGCGTGATGATAAGCAGAGCTGAGGTAGACATGTATGAGATACAAAGGATTTTCAAGAGAAGATATGGGATGGAACTGAAAGAAGCAATATGTGAGAGCATTCCATCTGGAGATTACAGAGATTTTCTTGTTGCTATAGCCTCAACCACTTCTATTATTACAAGCTAGCCAGCCCCATTAGTTCATAATTATGTTCTCTCTAGTGGCTGGAGACTTGGGATAGTGGGGCTATAGGTATCAAGATTCTAAGTTTTAGCTTTTGTTGATGCACAATTACCATTAGGAACTTGGTGTATATTTGACTACTTCGTAATGTGAGGATCCAAAACAGTATCTTTTGTCTTCCCCTTTTTTCCTCTACATGAGGTGGGTGGCACATGTGACTAGTTATTGCTTTTCTGCAGTTTTATGGCTATGTAAAAGCAAAAGCAATAAAGTCAAGCAAATGTCATTTTTTTTCTAGTACATTTTTAAAATCTTAAAGAGTTCTTTTTTTTTTTTTTTTTTTTTTGGGAATTGACCGCCCATCAACCACTATTAATTGGTATGAAGTGGCCTTAAATAGAAGATTTCAAGTTTCCCATACTTTTAAAACAGAAGAAGCAAGCCCAAGTTTTTTTGGTGGCCAAAAAAACATAGTATTTCTCTTCTAACTCATTTAGGTGGGAAAACCTCTGATCACATACCAATGCCAAAGGGTTAACATTGTAATAAAAAGGGAGGGTTAACATTGTGAAGGAAGGACCATTTTTTTATTCAATTATCAATAGGACTCAGAGGAAAAATAAAAAATAAAAAAACTGTATCTCGTGGACTGCAAATTGGTCTCTTCACCTTTCAAGCAAAATTGCTTCTTTAATTTAGTGGAAGAAAGGCATGAAGAAAAGTGATTATAATCTTTACTTACGTTGATTTGTCATCGCTTGAAGGATTTGGTTTACTTTATTCTTCTACTTCCTGTATACCACTAATTGTCCTGTCCAATCCCCAAAACCATGGTACTTGTCATCCTCACTTTGTAGCGGTCCCTTCATAAAGGCCGAAGGAAAATTGTTGGCTACAGGCTTAGCTTACTAGGTTTCAGTCATTAGCTTTTAACTTAAACAAGAACAGTTGATGTACTTAAACTTCAGCATCAAAAGCTCTATTAAACCAATCCCAGTTGCCCCACCAAAAGTTTGGACCATCAGAAGGAAGGTGCTAGGTAAGTTAGAACTTCAACTTCTCAACATGAGATTGAATCCTTGGAAAGTAGCTAGGAGACAGAAGGCTTATAGGAAATACAACCTAATGGAGTCTATTGTTCCAGAGAAGAGTTAATGAACTGAAGCAACAGAGAATTGATACAAGATTAATTGAGTTTGAGCTAAAAAAAAAAAAAAAATTCTACTTAAATATTTAATAAAGGATGAAAGTAAAAGGAAGGCATCTATTGTCAATGAATCAGTAATGAAATGGTGAGTAGTGTGTCACATGCCATTTTCTCAAGGCTCTTGTAATGCACTTTTTCCTCGTAAAATAGAATTGTCAAGGTAATTATTACCAAGAAGAAAGCATAGGCAAACATATGCATTCCCATACCCAGAAATGTTTTGTTTATGTAATGGAAATAATTGACCTTACTTTAGAATTACTAAGTACTCGTATAATTTTTTAGTTAATTTCAAATTTCTTCTTCTCCTTTTTTTTTTTTTTTTTTTTTTTTAACACCAATTGAGTTTGTAAACTTTTAGTTTTGATAGGAAACTGTTACTTTGGTGTTTATTGGTTCAATCTCTTGACCAAATTAATGAAAAATTAAATTAGCTGTTGATCAAAGGAAACAAATTAAAGAAAACAAAAAAGTACCTTAATTACCACATTTATATCTGTTATCAGCTTGATTACAACACAACCTAGCTATGCAGAAAATCAAGAAAGCTGTGCACATGAGAGGAGGAATAATGTGTCATCCAAGCTGAAGGAAATCTTCTACAGGTGAAAGAAAGCGACACAGAGCAAAATAAGTCCTCAAACCCAACAAAGAAATATTCCCCTTCAAGAGGTAACCCGGAAGAAACCTCATGGACCGCATCTTATAGCATTTGCATATAAAAGAGGAACAGGGAAAGAGGGCGCCTTATCAAATCGAAAACACGCTGTATTATTTCCTTTCACAAATCATTAGCAACGAAAGCAATAAGCATTGAATAGAAATCATGGCTGGAGCTAAAGTCAAGCCCTCTTACGAAGATTTTGAACCCTATTGCAAATGGGGAATAGAAGCTGGACAGAACACTCTCGAGGTTCATCTCCATGGTAACAAGTTTTCATCAAATTCTATATTTCTTGTTGTTCGAAAATAGTAAGATCTCTTTATGGAACATTTCTTGTCAAATGTTGCAGTTGATCAGCAGGTTGAGATGGCTAAGATTTGTCTCTAAGAATTTGCAAAATTATATAAAGGTCATGCTAATCACACTCCACAATCTAAACTTTCTAGGTTTCAAAAAGGAACAGTTGAGGGTTCAACTCAGCAGTCTTGGAAACATGACAATTACTGGGGAGCGTCGTGTGGACGAAAGTAGATGGACCCGTTTTCGCAAAGAAATCAAGGTTCCTAAGGAATGCAACAATTATGAAATTCGTGCAAAGTTGTCTGGTGGCATTCTTTACATAGTCATGCCTAAGAAAACGACACCACCTTCCTCTCAAGACCAAGTTACACCACGAGGCGGAAATCAAGAAAACGAACAAACAAAAGCCAGGATCAATCAAGATGACGTTACCAAGGACACTGTAAACCAAGAATTAGACACAATGCTCGCCATTAGGCCAACAAACTGTACAATGCAGCTGCAAGATGGGGTTTCTAGGCTTAAAATGAGAAAAAAGATGGCTATTAATGTAGCCGTAGCAGTTGTTGTGATGGTTATACTTGTTGCATTTGTAATATACAAACATCGTTAGCCTCCTCATGTCGAAAACTAATCTTGCCGTACATTACACAAGGTTTTCGCATCCTGTTTGCTTAGGTGCTGCGAAAAGTAAATTGTTCTTTATGCAAAGTGTTGGCGTACTTGAAATAATAAAGAACTTTCAATTACAAAAGGTCTTCGTATCGCTTGCTTCATTCCATATAAGTACTTTTGTTAACAATGAATGGAAAGTAAATTTTTTCTTGAGAAGCCAAACTGAATTCCTCGAAGTTCTTGGTGCAAAAATGCAACCTGGAGGAAGAAGAAAGTAGAATAGACCACGAAGTGAATATAAAGATGAGATTAAGAAAAAGCCATGCTCAGTGCCTAAAAGCAAAAGACCAAAAACAAACTGAGCTGGAAGAAACAAAGTGAAATAACAATCTTAATTTGGCAACCTTGAAACAGAGCTTACAAAACAATAAGGAAGTAAATCAAGGGACTGACTGCAGATGACTATGAAACTGAAGATTTCAGACAAAAGAATCAGGAAGCAAAGCAAGCTGCTGGGTGCATCCTTTAATGTTGTTCATACTATTATATGTTAATCATCTAATAAGAGTTTCTTTTGGCTCATAAATATCACAACTCACAGTAATCTAGTAAGTGTTTTTTTTTTTTCTTCTGACAAATAGTAAGAGTTTCGATGGCTCATGAATATCAAAATATGAATGTATGGCTAGTATGTCAGATCCTAACTCTTTTATTTTCTGATTTTTGCTTCTTGTCAAATTTAATTGATCCATTTTTTGGACTATGGCATTTCTATACATTAAATATTTTGGTCCAATTGTTGAACCAGATCAAATGGTCTTCTTATTCTTGAATCCCACCTATATATTCTTTTCCTTACAATTAGTCTTCCATAAAAATACTGGTTAATTCACCCCGTCAGTTACCCTTTGATCTCAGCGTAATTTTTAATGTATGTCCTCCAAATTCTCAACAATGATGACAAGCAAACTAACAGAAGATGACAGATTTGAAAGGCTTTTATTTTTATTTTATTTTATTTTTTTTTATGCCAGATAATTGAAGACTTCTTATATTTTAATCCAGTTTCAAGGTTTGAAGTTTGAACAGTCAATCATCTTGATAGTTTTTGTTAATGTGATGAAGAATTTAATCTTCTGACCTCCTAAATTAGCTTTACTTAACACTCAAAAACTTACACATGGTCAGTGAAAACATATCTTAGGAAAAAAGAAAAGGCTACTGACGTTAGGAAAAGAGAAATACAAGGGAAGGTATACCCAAAGATAGTTCCAAGAAAATCACTTCCTTGGAAACTGGAAAAAGAATTGATTCTTTTCCAAGATGAGACTCAAAAGGAACCTCTAATTTCTTTCTTCTTTATGTCTGTCAAAACCAATGTATATATGACAGCTTATTTCATTTAGTTAAAAATTCACTTCATCATCATTCTCCTTAATTCAAGAATAACCTTAGAGAAAACCAAAGAAGCCTTCGAATGGAAATCAAGGATGAAGAAACCTTGAAGCTCTCTTATTATGATTTCGAGCCCTTTTGCAAATGGAAAAGAGAGGAAGGACATGACATACTTGAGGTCCATCTACAAGGTACTTTATCTGCAGAAAAAGAAAGCAATTAAGAAAATATTTTTTCAATGATCCATCTTGCTTCTTCATGTTATAAACTTAAAATAAAATTCCTCTGCATCATTAATGCCTTTTATCTAACTAGCTAGCCCAAGATATTTCATCCTTCTATCTACCCGATTCCAACTAATTTGAAATTCTGACTTAACTTATAAGTTCAAACGAAAATATATTTTTAATCCTTTTATTTTCTCTCTGTATATAGATTTCCAAAAACAACAGCTGAGGGTCCAAATAAAAGAACTTGGTGTTGTGACAATTACTGGAGAGCGACCTCTAGATGATACTCACTGGTGCCGCTTTAACAAACAAATCAAGATTCCAAAGAACTGTAAAACAAATGAAATTCGCGCAAAGTTCTCTGGTGGTATTCTTCATGTAGTAGTGCCTAAGAAAACTCCTGCATTTCCTGCAGAACTAAGTAGCGCTGAAAATATCACAACAAGCACAAGCATGCCATCGAATTACTTGTTTGGCACGCTGGAATTAAATACCAAGTTAGCTCTACAAGTTGCAGGAATGCTTGCTGTGGTAGTGGCTTTTGGAGCTTATGCATACAAATACTGTCATTGTGATCATGTTGAAACCTAATTGTTCTATATTTCATTGCTGATATATACTTCTAGCCCAGATTCTTCGTTCTTTTGAATTTGAAATATTAATGATGTTAGCTGGTCCTTTGTGTTTCATGTCCTAACTATTTTAATGTCCTAATTTGTTATGATGATTACTACTGGATAATTCTTTTAATTAAATATAAAAGTTTACAGAAATAGGAAAATTAAGCATTGTGCACATAAAGAAACCATACAGGTCAATAAAGAAGGGAATTCGAGATTTTACAAATCACTTGAAGGGAATTAATAGCTTTGATTGATTGATGATTTAAACTTTGAAGTGTGGATAAGCTTAATTTGTGTTTTATGGTCTAAAACAAAGTGCACAATCCTATATCATATGGGTTCTTTTTTGCGGTTTTTGTCCTTGAATTATTAAGGTTATGACATATTGAAGTTTGTACTACCAAATTGATCAATCAAATCCTTAAACTATAATTTTTTTTTTTTTTGGAACAAATGTTGTCCCTCTGTCTGCCTTTATTTTATTTTTTCCATTAGGTTAATGGATGAAATTTTGATCATTAATCAAAACCCTTCTAAAAAGTTCTTATTTTTCTTTTGTTGATATTTTTGAGCCAAAATTTTTCATAGACACCAATAAAATACATTTTACTTCCAAATACAATTTCAAAAAAATTTGAGGATCACGAAGCATTTTTTTTTAAATTAAAAATTCACTAAAATATTAAAAAAAGAAAAAGAAAATAAGATAGGCTTCTGATTTTTTGGAGGAGATCTAACAAAAATCATACGAATTTATCTATATAGTTTTTAGTATGATTTCCATAATATTTACATTTATGATTCTCAAAACTAGCTGCTTGTTTTAAGTTTTGTGTAGCAGGATATCACGCATTTCACAAAATAACACAATTAGAGACATATATGGGCGAGATGAAGTAAAGGGATACCATTAAAAATTGTTTTTTAACGAGAGAACACTTTATACAGAGACTTCATAGCTCATTAACCCAATAAAGTATGATAATTGTATGTTTTTTTCCCCCTTCTTTCTTCATGTTTGTTTTTGGTTTTGAATTGCCTAGTATACTTGCGTACGGTCACGTGAGTATGACCTTTAAGTTAATCATATATTATAATAAGAGGATAGATATTAAATATAGTTTGAAAAAGGTTTTGATAAGTGAGATAACTAATCTTTGGTAATGGCAATTATTAGTATTGTTGAGATACATACAAATAGCTAAACCAACTCTCAACTGATCTAATACGAACTGCTAATTACATTTTGACAAAGAACCTTGTAATTAACTCTTTGGAATTAATTCTTTGAAATTTCTTAGTAGTCTTAAATTTCTCAACATTCCAATATAATAAGGATAAATTTTTCTTCCTATACCTCGTCTTCAATCATACATTCATGTTAATTTGCACATACGATTTGAACAATGCAAAAGGAATCAAATTCAATAAGAGTCATTTTTAATGAAAATATAAAAAGTGGAAAATAGCAAGTAATTCATCAAATCTTTTTTTTTTTTAACAAATAAATTTGAATGAATTTAATCCATCTTGATGAGGTCCCGAACCTCGTTAGATGATGTGTGATAAAGTGATTTTTTTCTTGGCCGATATAGCAATGAAGTTTGATGATGGATGAAAATCAAGATAGTTGAAATACATGCAAATAAATTTTTTGAATGAATTGGAGGATCTTCCGATGACTAAGTTAGTATATAAAAAGAGATAATTGTTTGAAAAGATAGTGATAAGGCTTGAAAAGGCAATGGTATAGTGATACAAATATGAAGAAGATGATGAATAGTAGTTATGAAAATAAAGATTCAGAATTTGAAACTTTAATCCCTTTGCTTGTTTATATAACCAAGGATCTCTTCAAGTTGCATAGAAAGAGAGACATGATGATCTTTTTTTTTTTTTTTTCAAGAACTTTTTACTTAGGAGATAAATGCGGTTAATGTTGATATGTTACGGTTAAGAGAATATATCGGCATCATAATTTAGGCATAATTGATCTTAGTTGCATACTCTCATCTTATAGATATATTATCTATCTCTTCTAATTGATGGGACTCGATTCAATCAACCAAGCTTATTATCTAGGATAAGGCCATTTATTATGCTCATAGAGGTGACTTAGTAAGATTTATTTTTTAAATTACACCTTAAATAGTGTTTTATTTTTTTAAAAACTCATCACGCTAGAGTCATTTCATCTATTAGGAATTAGACAATGACATATGTCATTTGAATATATTAATTTCCTCTTTGGATCCATAGAAGAGTGATTGCAGAGACTAACTTATCGTTCGAAATTTTGGTAGATATTTGTCGCATGTAAGATGATTAGAAGATTTTAACTTATTGCGGTTAGAGCCTTTATTAGCATCATTTATTACCTGTCACTTTCGTACTTGCATTTTTATAGAGGAGACCAATCATCCTCACTTGGGCTTGTTGGAGAAGATAAAAAGGACTGGGCCTTTTGAAATTCTCAAAACCCATTATAATTTGTACACGTCATTTGTTGTGTGGCACATACGGTTGGTTGTCATTGGCCACACCATATTGGGCTTACTAGGTGCGTGTGGATTTTAGGTTATCTAACATGGGATGTACGTTCGAGTCTATACATAGTAGAAAAGCTCTTTTTTATTTTTATCTTCATCTTTCTTTTTTTCATTATTTTATATTTCTAGCAAATGTAATTTCTAGCAAGTTGTGAGAGTGTTTTATAGGGATCTTATGTGATTCTTGCCTATAAGATATCCTTACATGAGTTTTTTCAAACTTTTTACAGTGATCATCACCACCAAACTTGTCGTTTTATGAAGAAAATTATTTATTTATTTATTATTATTATTATTATTTTGTGATGGTCTAACTCTTTTCTAGCTATTGGCGACATTTCTAATAGGTAAATGTTCTATATATTTCTTTCTTTGATAAAAAATGGTAGGTTTCGACAAAGTTAAGAGTAAATCTAGAAGGATCTCGAATAGAGATCATAGAAGAAGGGAGACAAACTTAGATGTGTTGATGGTAGTTCCTCGTAGGACCATGCGAGAGCCTATACGTCTCTATGTTGATAAAAACCGTAGTGAAGTGTTTATAAAAAAGCTGACTGTTCTATATGCCAAATCCAGTGAGTTCAAGATGAGGAAGCCAACTGCAATGAGTTGAGGATGAGGAATAGAACAATAATTGAGTGAGAGGTCCTAATTTGGGCAGGCTCTGTCATACTGCAACCTACCAAGCTGATTCTTGTGTCAATTATCAATCCATCAATCGACTTCTTGCCAGAAAGACAGAGAAATAAAAATAAAAATGCCAGGTTGCCTATTAGGCAGATTTGCAAATTAGGTCCTTTTATCTTCTCTTCACTGCAAATGCTGAATGGCCTGTTAAGACCATCTCCCCTTTATAAGTTATTTTTGCTAGTATGAATCCTATCAATCCTCAGTGAATCCTGCTGGGAGCTGTACACTTCAGGAAGTTCTTGTTTCTGTTTCATGTGGAGCTTATGATTTGAATGATAGATATTGGAAACACATAGTTTCTGGAGGTTATGGTATCGGTGCTATTTCATCTTCAGACAGAGATAGCAGATTCTTATTTTGTGGATTCATTTCATAGTTAGCTATTTTTGCTCATGTGGCTTCTCTTCTACATTTCTTGTTGATTTGCTTTGGATTTGCACCCTTTCTTGCCTTCAATTAAGTTGATTTAAGAAAGAAATTAATTTCTAGAACAATTGGATATGGGAAGGAGCCTCTCATCTGGGGATCATATTATAACCTAGATGGAGATGTGATTCCTCTTCAGACATAGATAGCAGATTGTATGGTTTTTCTGGGGATTATATTTAAGTTCAAATTCCATATCATTGCTAATTGTATTATTTTCACTTCAAAATAGTTTCATACCTTTTAAGACTAGAAAATCAAGCCTTGTTGACTTGCATCTCTCCTGTCTCTAGTCTAACTATAGTCCTTGGGATCAGTTGATGTTAATTTCAGACTAACTTATATGCATACCCTGCAAATGATTGCTTCGTGTCTGTCTTTGGCATATGTTTATGTGCATTATTTTTTCTTAAACTAATGTATGGGTTTTCATGGAAGATGGAAGAGGATCATTACTGTGGTGTGATAGTCCGTACTACTGATGTAAGTATGTTTTAATGCATTATGACCTATCCCCTGAGCTCTTTCGTTTTTGATCTCTTTGAATATGACATCTTTGAAAATGTGCCAGAATATCCATTAGTCCAGAACTGTAGTTTTTTCAACAAATTCGGCATATAGTTTCTACTTGAAATTTACTGTTCTTTTTCTACATAACTTCTATTTGCATATACAATTTTGTTTCGAGTCCATGGCTAAGAATAAGTGTCTTAAAAAGAACTTACAAACTTGGCACAATTTCAGCTTAGTCTACATGCATCCATGTTCAAGTGATCTCTGTCTGCAAAGTTTCTTGAGTAAATAAAGTTGTTCTTGACAGTCTAATGAATTGCTTTCCTTTATTTATTTATTTATTTTTCAATCATTTACCAAATGATTGAGTCATGCCAAATCAATCTCTCTCTGTTTCTCGATTTCTTATTGTTTTTTGTTTTCCAAAACCATTGGCTGTATATGCTTTAATTAAAAACATTTCAAATGATATCGAAGAATAGTTCCTTGAACTGTTGATGGGTCCTTCTGATCGCCTTGAAGGCCCGAATTCATTGCTTCGAGTCATTAAATGAAAATTTTGTAGTCATAGCATCCAACAACTTTTACAAATTGCGTGTAAGCCATGGTCTAGGAGATAGGTTATGACTCGTTAGCCAGTTTTTTTTTCTCTTCCCTATACTGGGCTCCTGATATTTTGATCTTGTATATGTTTACTTATTTACTAGTTGGTGGTTTTGGATGAAAAGTGTTGGTTCCAGCTTCCACTTTTCCACCCCTCTTTGCCATACGCAGGAGGTCCACATGGTTTGGAGTGTTTTGTAGTCTTCGTTTCCATCAAATTTTCCTCAAATGTTGCTGGGGGTAATTCTTCTTCGCCCTTGGCATTTTTAATTTCCCCATTTCGGTGCTGTTGTTCTTTTTTGGAAAGTTCAATTTTGCCCTTAGCATGAAAATTAATATATATATATATATATATATATATATTCATTCTTTTAAAAAAGAAAATTCGATATTTTGGACAGATTTAGTGAAAACAGAAAAGGATTGCTTCCCCAACAGGTCAGCATGATGGGCAAGCATAACTACAATTTACAATATACAACAGCCTAAGAGCTGAAAACAAGAGCATCAGACTCCCACTTTAAAACTACGTCCTAATGTTACGCATGCAAAATTCTAGTAATTTTTGGCTACGATACTCTTTGAATGAATTAAAATAATGGACCGACAACTGCCTTCACCTGAGTACTACTACGTTTCAACTTCTCTTAAGGATTCCTTTTATCATCTGGATTCCACATTGCTGCTATATATATCCATTAATGTATGCAGGCTCGAATCTTCTATCTATCATCGATTGCTTGTTGCTGCCTTCTCTAGGGTTTCTTTCTATCGTTGATCACCTGTTTCAATCTTCTTTGCTACCTAAAAACAAAACGAAAAAAACTTCGTACCGCAGCATTAGAGAAGATTCAAACCAGTGAGAACATGTATTCATCAACAAACATGCAAGCAAAATTAGGTTCTTTTGTCAACAAGTTCTTCAGAAGGGATATCAAAGGCTCTCTTGCAGTGACTGGGAGTGTGAAAACGCGAAGAGGTTATGTAGCTATGTACGTGGGGAAAGAAGGTAAACGATACGAAGTTCCAGTGAAATATCTTTCCAATCCAGTATTCCAAGAACTGCTTAGGCGATCGCAGCATCAAGATCTCGAATACAAGATCGAAGGGGCAATTCGGATTCCTCACTCTACCGCTTTTTTCGATCAGTTCTTAAGGATTATGAAGGAGTACTTCTAGGTCTATGGAAGATATGCATGCGTGCCATTGTCAACAATACATCTTTGAAGAGGGTTTCAAGCCAAAATAAAGTTTCATCAATCAATCTCTAGATGCATCTTTAGGTCATCATTAATTTTTAGAGGAAGGATTTAGGCCATCTTCCTGGATTCTTTAGAATGAAAAGTTCTTATTGTGATAATTCTAGATCATAGTTTGTACAGATAAACAATCTCTCTGAAATTAAATAAAATCAACTTTTGTTTCGTAACTAAATAAATCTTTTGCTTTGTTGCGCTCCATGTATAGTTTCTGCAGAGGTCAATGAGGTCGTTGTATTGGTGATCCAGAGGGATAAATATGTTGTGGAATTAAGGGATAGACATGTCAGATCCTAACTCTTTTATTTTCTGATTTTTGTTTCTTATCAAATTTAATTGATCCATTTTTTGGACTATGGCCTTTCTATACATTAAATATTTTGGTCCAATTGTTGAACCAAATCAAGTGGTCTTCTTATTCTTGAATCCCACCTATATATTCTTTTCCTTACAATTAGTCTTCCATAAAAATACTTGGTTACTTCACCCCGTTAGTTACCCTTCGATCTCAGTGTAATTTTTAATGTATGTCCTCCAAATTCTCATCAATGATGACAAGCAAACTAACAGAAGATGACAGATTTGAAAAGCTTTTATTTGTTTCTTGTTTTCTTTTTTTGCCAGATAAGTGAAGACTTCTTATATTTCAATTCCAGTTTCATGGTTTGAAGTTTGAACTGTCAATCATCTTGATAGTTTTTGTTAATGTAATGAAGAATTTAATCTTCTGACCTCCTAAATTAGCTTTACTTAACACTCAAAAACTTACACATGGTCAGTGAAAACATATCTTAGGAAAAAAGAAAAGGCTACTGACGTTAGGAAAAGAGAAATACAAGGGAAGGTATACCCAAAGATAGTTCCAAGCAAATCACTTCCTTGGAAACTGGAAAAAGAATTGATTCTTTTCCAAGATGAGACTCAAAAGGAACCTCTAATTTCTTTCTTCTGTATGTCTGTCAAAACCTATTTATTTATGACAGCTTATTTCATTTAGTTAAAAATTCACTTCATCATCATTCTCCTTAATTCAAGAATAACCTTAGAGAAAACCAAAGAAGCCTTCGAATGGAAATCAAGGTTGAAGAAACCTTGAAGCTCTCTTATGATGATTTCGAGCCCTTTTGCAAATGGAAAAGAGAGGAAGGACATGACATACTTGAGGTCCATCTAAAAGGTACTTTATTTGCAGAAAAAGAAAGGAATTAAGAATTTTTTTTTTTAATGATCCATCTTGCTTCTTCATGTTATAAACTAAAAATAAAATGCCTCTGCATCATTAATGCCTTTATCTAGCTAGCTAGCCCAAGATATTTCATCCTTCTATCTATCCGATTCCAACTAATTTGAAATTCTGACTTAAGTTATAAGTTCAAACGAAAATATATTTTTAATCCTTTTATTTTCTTCTGTCTATAGATTTCCAAAAACAACAGCTGAGGGTCCAAATAAAAGAACCTGGTGTTGTGACAATTACTGGAGAGCGACCTCTATATGATACTCGCCGGAGCCGGTTTAACAAACAAATCAGGATTCCAAAGAACTGTAAAATAAATGAAATTCGTGCAACGTTCTCTGGTGGTATTCTTCATGTAGTAGTGCCTGAGAAAACTCCCGCATTTCCTGCTGAACTAAGTAGGACTGAAAATATCACAACAAGCACAAGTATGCCATCAAATTACTTGCTTGGCATGAAGAGTTCCAGTTGGAGACTGGAATTAAATACCAAGTTAGCTCTAAAAGTTGCGGGAATGCTTGCTCTGGTAGTAGCTTTTGGAGCTCATGCATACAAATACTGTCATTGTGATCATGTTGAAACCTAATTGTTCTATATTTCATTGCTGATATATACTTCTAGCCCAGATTCTTCGTTCTTTTGAATTTGAAATATTAATGATGGTAGCTGGTCCTTTGTGTCTCATGCCCTAACTATTTTATTGTCCTAATTTATTGTGATGATTACTACTGGATAATTCTTTTAATTAAATATAAAAGTTTACAGAAATAGGAAAATTAAGCATTGTGCACATAAAGAAACCATACCGGTCAATAAAGAAGGAATTCGAGATTTTACAAATCACTTGAAGGGAATTAATAGCTTTGATTGACTGAAGATTTAAACTTTGAAGTGTAGACAAGCTTAATTTGAGTTTTATGGTCTAACACAAAGTGCACAATCCTATATCATATGGGTTCTTTTTCGCGGTTTTTGTCCTTGAATTATTAAGGTTATGACATATTGAAGTTTGTACCACCAAATTGATCAATCAAATCCTTAAACTATCAATTTTTTTTTTGGAACAAATGTTGTCCCTCTGTCTGCCTCTATTTTATTTTTTTCATTAGGTTAATGGATGAAATTTTGATCATTGATCCCAACCCTGCTAAAAAGTTCTTATTTTTCTTTTGTTGATATTTTTGAGCCAAAATTTTTCGTAGACACTAATAAAATACAATTTACTTCCAAATACAATTTCAAAAAATTTGAGGATCATGAAGCTTTTTTTAAAAAAATATATATTAAACATTCACAAAAATATTGAAAAAAGAAAAAGAAAATAAGATAGGCTTCTGATTTTTTGGAGGAGATTTAACAAAAATCATACGAATTTATCTATATAGTTTTTAGTATGATTCCCATAATATTTACATTTATGATTCTCAAAACTAGCTGCTTGTTTTAAGTTTGGTTTAGTAGGACATCATGCATTTCACAAAAGAACACAGTGAGAGACATATGTGGGCAAGGTGAAGTAAAGGGTTACCATTAAGAATTTTTTTTTTTTTTAATTTTTTATGAGAGAACACTTTAAACAGAAACTTCACAACTCATTAACCCAATAAAGTATGGTAATTGTATGTTTTTTTCCCCTTCTTTCATCTTGTTTGTTTTTGTTTTTGAATTACCTGGTATATCTATGTACGGTCACGTGAGAATGACCTTTGAGTTAATCATATATTATAATAAGAGGTTAGATATTAAATATAGGTTGAATAAGGTTGTTTGAAAAAGGGTTTTGATAACTAATCTTTGGTAATGGCAATTATTAGTATTGTTGAGATACATATAAATAGCTAAACCAAATCCTTAACTGATCTAATATGAACTGCTAATTACATTTTGACAAATAACCTTGTAATTAGCTCTTTGGAATTAATTCTTTGAAATTTCTCAATAGTCTTAAATTTCTCAACATTCCAATAAGGATAAAGTTTTCTTCCTATGCCTCGTCTTCAATCATACATTCATGTTAGTTTGCACATATGATTCGAACAATGGAAAAGGAATCAAATTCAATTGAAGTCATTTTTAATGAAAATATAAAAAGGGGAAATGAACAAGTAATTCATCAAGTCTTTTTTTTTTTTTAACAAATGAATTCGAATGAATTTAATCCATCTTGATGAGATCACGAACCACGTTAGATGATGTGTGAAAGATGATTTTTTTCTTAACCGGTATAGTTGTGAAGTTTGATGATGAATGAAAATCAAGCTCATTGAAATACATGCAAAACAAATTTTTCGAATGAATTGAAAGATCTTCCGATAACTAAGTTAGTATACATAAAAAGAGATAGGAGTCCAAAAAGTTAGTGATAAGGCCCGTAAAGGCAACTCGTGAAATTGATGAATAATAATTATGAAATTTTAAGTTTCAAAACTTGAAAATTTAAGCCCTTTGGCTATTTATATAGCCAAGGATCTCTTCAAGTTATATAGAAAGAGAGACATGACAGTCTATTTTCTTTTTGTCTACAACTTTCTACTTGGGAGATAAATGCGCTTAATGATGACATATTACACTTGAGAGAATATGTTGGAATCATAATTGACATTGGTTAAACATAATTGACCTTAGTTGCAAACTTTCATCTTATAAATGTATCGTCTATCTCTTTTAATTGATGGGACTCGATTCGATCATTCGAGCTTATTGTCTAGGATAAGACCATTTGGTACGCTAATTGAGGTATTTTTTTAAAATTTTTTAACATCATTGCCAATTAAGTGATAGTAATGATGGTGATGTCATTGATAAAAATAATGATAGCTATAAAAATAATTGATATATGGTAAATAACAATAATATATATGTATTTTAAAAAATAAAAATTCTTAATATCATTTATTATTATTATTCTCATCTCCCCGTCAAAATGAAACAATATATAATTTTTATTTTTCATTTTCATCCTTCATTCTTATTTCTATTTGTATTTCTTTTCTTTCAATCAAATACTTACAAACTAGGAATCAAACTTTCTTTGTTTTTTTTTTTCCCCTTCTATTCCATTCGTGTGGCATTTCAATTCACAAATTAATCTCTAAGTCCACGATAGAAAATGAAAGAAAAAATTGCCTTCAAAGCAACAAATCGTTGGTCCCCGTCCAAAATGCACCTTTTGCCCTATTCCTTAAATGCTAAAATTGAGGATACGAACACTCTATTGGTCAACAGGATCGAGGAAATGATGGATCCAAGAAAGGATTAGAAACAATTTCGGTGTTTTTTTTTTTTTTTTTTTGGGAATTTAGGTGATTTGACTTTTATCCTTTCCCTCTCCTATAACTAGAGGGATAGTATGTGCATCTTCCCCAATCTATTCTTCCGGACAAACATAGCCTGAAACGACATAACTTTCAGCTCCTCGCTTTGCCCCTCTTTGCCTTCTTTTTCTCCTCCAACTAAAGAAATGGAGGCAAAAACTTCTACTCAATCAATCACTGCAGGAACTGTAGAGAAGAAACAGAATTCACCAATGGACGCACAAAATGACACCCAAAATGCAGCACAGTCTTCAATTGAAACTGAGAAAAGCGGAAATGTGGTAATCGAGGAGAAATGCGAATGTGAATGATTCTATTTTGACATAGCCGCGAGATGAAATTGATTCGCATGGAACAGTAGATTTTTCAAAAATAGTGAAAGACGAGATTTTGTGAAGGAGAGAGTAGAGGTGACGACGACGACGAAGATGACGAGAGTGCCTAAAAATGTAGTGCAAAATATTGGAGAAAATCCTGATCGGCGAGTCATTGTTTTCATGGAAGCTTGTGAAAGAGACAAAAGAAGGCTTCCTGAGTGAAATTCCAATCGATGATGGAACAAATGCCAGTGGAATGTCAGTGAAAGCGGGGAATGTGGTCAGTGATTTTATGGAAATTGATATTTTGAAGATGATGGAGGTTGGTGAAGGAGGAGAAGATCGCAATTGATTGTAAAAAGAATGTGGGTGTAGTTGAGAAGTCAGGGTTAGCTAGTGAAATGACAGTGGAAGCAGAGAATCTGGGGTTAGTTGGGGACAGGAACTGATGAATGTAGGGCGGAAATTGTGGGAGTAAGTGGTGGAGATAAGAGGGAGGGAAGGAGGATGTGAATGCTGATGATCGTGAAACAGATAATGGAGGTGTTATTTTGAGTGTGGGATTGGAGGCATTGGAGAGGCATAGGATAAGAGGATAAAAACAGATTTTCACTGGTGGGTTGAATGCAGTTGCGAAGGAGGCAGATGTCAGGAATTTTTTTTTTTTTTTTTTTTTTTTTGAGGATGTGGGTGAGATCGTAGTTGTGTGGCTGGGGTGACTAATTGCAATACAGGGAAGAGTAAGGTTTATGCGTTTGTGGGTACGCTTCATGATGCCAAGAAGGCATCGGAGAAGCACTCAAAAGTTGAGGTAAAGCTGCTTGTTAGATCTGTCTTTGTGGATTTTCATTTGATTTATATTATTTTGTGTTGCATCTTTTTTGTTCTCTTTTTACGGTAGTCTAGGGGAATGTTTAACTAACCAGATGGTTGACTAGCCTTAGATTGCTGGGGGCAGTGTTAGCTAAGCACAAATCCTTTTGGTGAATGTTTAGCCTAACATTCATTTGTTACGAAGAGCTTGAAGCCTACTGGCAGTGGTCTCTTGTTAAACAAGAGGTCACGAGTTTAAATCTTAGTAAACTAGTTTTATTAGGAGCCTTGGATGTGCAAGTTTAAAAAAAAAAAAAAAAAAAAAAAATAATTCATCTGTTTGTTGTCTTCTTGCATGATTGTTGCATCATGCATTTGGAATGGCACTTACAAAAACTGAACGGCTGCTACAGTGAACTTCATATTTACAGAGAATCAACTACATATACGACATTTATTTTAAGGTTTTTGAATTTCTAGTTGCCATGTGCATGTTTATAAACTTAGACAAGTAAGGGTTACACCAGAAATTTTATTTTTAATCTTTTCTAACATTATTTGCTGGGAGGCGGTGCCCCAATTTCAAAGAACAAAAACTATATGCATTATAAATAATATGCAAATTCTATAGAACCATTCATGTTCCAAAAGATTTACCTGGATGTTGGCAATGTAATGTCCTAATCCAATAATAGAGAGAAAGAGGATAATTATTGACTTCTCCTCCTTGAATGCCCTTTTGTTCCGTTCCTTCAATGGCAACCGATAGATAGCTAATGGAACACAACCACAGAGCTAATGCTTCCTGTTCCATAAATTCAGCACTATGTAATGGTGCTTGACATGTCCCAAATAATACTTGCAACTCTATATGCCAACTGCAGTGAGTTCAAGATGAGGAAGCAAACTGCAGTGAGTTGAAGATGAGGAATAGAACAATAATTGAGTGACAGGTCCTAATTTGGGCAGGCTCTGTCATACTGCAACTTACCAAGCTGATTCGTGTGTCAATTATCAATCCATCAATCAACTTCTTGCCAGAAAGACAGAAAAATAAAAATAAAAATGCCAGGTTGCCTATTAGGCAGATTTGCAAATTAGGTCCTTTTATCTTCTCCTCACTGCAAATGCTGAATGCCCTGTTAAGACCATCTCCCCTTTATAAATTATTTTTGCTAGTATGAATCCTATTAATCCTCAGTGAATCCTGCTGGGAGCTGTACAATGCAGGAAGTTCTTGTTTCTGTTTCATGTGGAGCTTATGATTTGAATGATAGATATTGGAAACACATAGTTTCTGGAGGTTACGGTATCGGTGCTATTTAATCTTCAGACAGAGATAGCAGATTCTTATTTTGTGGATTCATTTCATAGTTAGCTATTTTTGCTCATGTGGCTTCTCTTCTACATTTCTTGTTGATTTGCTTTGGATTTGCACCCTTTCTTGCTTTCAATTAAGTTGATTTAAGAAAGAAATTAGTTTCTAGAACAATTGGAGATGGGAAGGAGCCTCTCATCTGGGGATTATATTATAACCTAGATGGAGATGTGATTCCTCTTCAGACATAGATAGCAGATTCTATGGTTTTTCTGGGGATTATATTTAAGTTCAAATTCCACATCATTGCTAATTGTATTATTTTCATTTCAAAATAGTTTCACACCTTTTAGGACTAGAAAACCAAGCCTTGTTGACTTGCATCTCTCCTATCTCTAGTCTAACTATAGTCCTTGGGATCAGTAGATGTTAATTTCAGAGTAACTTATATGCATACCCTGCAAACGATTGCTTCGCGTCTGTCTTTGGCATATGTTTATGGGCATTATTTTTTTCTTAACTAATGTATGGGTTTTCATGGAAGATGGAAGAGGATCATTACTGTGGTGTGATGGTCTGTACTACTGATGTAAGTATGTCTTATGGCATTTTGACCTATCCCCTGAGCTCTTTCCCTTTTGATCTCTTTGACTATGACATCTTTGAAAATGTGCCAGAATATCCACTGGTCCAGAACTGTAGTTTTTTCAACAAATTCGGCATATGGTTTCTATCTTGAAATTTACTGTTGAGTTTCTGCTTTTCTTTTTCTACATAACTTCTATTTGCATATACAATTTGTTTGAGTCAATGGCTAAGAATAAGTGTCTTAGAAAAAACTTACAAACTTGGCACAATTTCAGCTTAGTCTACATGCATCCATGTTCAAGTGATCTCTGTCAGCAAAATTTCTTGAGTAAATAAAGCTGTTCTTGACAGTCTAATGAATTGCTTTCCTTTATGTATTTATTTATTTATTCAATCTTTTACCAAATGATTGAGTCATGCCAAATCAATCTCTCCCTGTTTCTCGATTTCTTATTGTTTTTTGTTTTCCAAAACCGTTGGGATAGAGGCCCATCAATTACAATTTACTATATACAACAGCTAAGACATAAGAGCCGAAAACAAGAGCATTAGAATCGCACTTTAAAATTACATCCTAATGTTACGCGTGCAAAATTCTAGTTATTTTGGGCTACGAAACTCTTTGAATGAGTTAAAATAATGGACCGACAAATGCCTTCACTTGAGTACTACTACGTTTCAACTTCTCTTAAGGATTCCACATTGCTGCTATATATATCCATTAATGTATGCAGGCTCGAATCTTCTATCTATCATCGATTGCTTGTTGCTGCCTTCTCTAGGGTTTCTTTCTATCATTGATCATCTGTTTCAACCTTCTTTGCTACCTAAAAACAAAACAAAAAAAATTTCGTACCGCAGCATTAGAGAAGATTCAAACCAGTGAGAACATGTATTCATCAACAAACATGCAAGAAAAATTAAGTTCTCTTGTCAACAAGTTCTTCAGAAGGGATATCAAAGGCTCTCTTGCAGTGACTGGGAGTGTGAAAACGCGAAGCGGTTATGTAGCCATGTACGTGGGGAAAGAAGGTAAACGATACGAAGTTCCAGTGAAATATCTTTCCAACCCAGTATTCCAAGAACTGCTTAGGCGATCGCAACATCAAGATCTCGACTACAAGATTGAAGGGGCAATTCGCATTCCTCACTCTACCGCTTTTTTCGATCAGTTCTTAAGGATTATGAAGGAGTACTTCTAGATCTATGGAAGATATGCATGCGTGCCATTGTCAACAACACATCTTTGAAGAGGGTTTCAAGCCAAAATAAAGTTTCATCAATCAATCTCTAGATGCATCTTTAGGTCATCATTAATTTTTAGAGGAAGGATTTAGGCCATCTTCCTGGATTCTCTAGAATGAAAAGTTCTTATTGTGATAATTCTAGATCATAGTTTGTACAGATAAACGATCTCTCTGAAATTAAATAAAATCAACTTTTGTTTCGTAACTAAATAAATCTTTTGCTTTGTTGCGCTCCATGTATAGTTTCTGCAGAGGTCAATGAGGTCGTTGTATTGGTGATCCAGAGGGATAAACATGTTGTGGAATTAAGTGGACAGTTGTGTAGGAAAGGAATCCTTGGTTTGATTCCTTTGGCAGTAAGAATTAAAATTTAAAAAAACTGATTTGGATTAGTTAGTACCTTATGTGGGAGTTTTTTTTTTTTTTCCCTACATCAGATTATTTTAAAATCTTTTTTTTTTTTTTTACCAAAATAGGGTATTTTTAAACTTAATTCCTCAAACAACACACTTTTGGACACATTTCATCTATTTTCTTTTAAATTGTTATCAATACTTTAATTAAGACTTAATTAGAAAAATAAAAAGCTGTAAAACCCCTCTCTCCCACCAAAAACGTGGGTTTTTTTCTCATCAAAATTTACGAACTTGGCTAAACCAGATATCTAGATTACAGACTTCAACCATCTCTATATTAGAATGCTTTTAATTTAAAGAAGATCACTGCCTCTCTAATTAATTCACCTAAAAAAATCAAATAAAAAAAGAAAGAAATTATGTTTTGTTATTTCAACTTTCCTCTTCCAATAGGCTACGAAACTTACGATTATCACATCACTTGAACCAAAAATTGAGAAAATCTAATTTCTTGCATCATCGTAGACATATTTACAATCGTGCTATGTATGAACAAGTTCATCATTAAGTGCATGCTTGTCACTTGTTAGTGGTTCTTGACTATTTAAATAGTTGAAAACAAAAAACAAATTCAATTAATTAGCGAAATCTCTTTATAAATCCTAAGTTTGGAGAAAGAGGAAAAAAACCAACAAATTCAGTTAAACATAAAAAAAAATGTTCATAAATAAAAAAGTCATGGATATTGAGATCTTATGCTTGGCAAGAAGTGCCTTAATTTAGTAAATAAAATTAAAAATACTTTTATTTAATAAATAAAAATTCAAAGTATCTTGATATGAGAAATAACTCGCTTACGTGGTACATAATTTTTTTTTTGGTAAATAAAATTAAAACAAGCCTATTTCAAGAAATAAATTATCAAGTAACTTTATTTTAGAAAAACTCCTTAAGATAAATAAAAGGAATATTTAGTTGAATCAAATTAATATTTGATATTTCGTTTGCTATTATATATAATAATAGATGGATAAACTATATAACATCACATACTCAATTATCAAATCTCAAAAAAAAAAAAAATCAATTATCAATAAACAATTTCCAATAACGAGAAACATAATTCCGATTCCAAATCAAGTATGAAAACACAGCTTATTAACTAATTAAGGCTTCACTATTTGTTTATTTTTTTAACATTAAAAATATAGAAAATTAGAAAAAAAAAAACTCAAAATGATCCTAAATCTTTTAGGAAGTTTCAGATAAATTTTACTCGAATGATTTTTATCCTAGAATTTTTATATAATTATTATTTTTTTTAGATAAATGAAAGAAAACTAGATTACAGGCTAAATCTTAAAAAAAAAAGGAGTAAAGTTTAGGAGGTCAAAACACATATTGAAAGTTCAAAAACTGATTTGAAATGGAATAAATTTCAGCAAAGGTTTGATCTTTTAGCCTTAAAATTGCCTTGAAATGGATATTTTATTTTTTTTCATTAAATTTGCATTTGGTTGATGAACATAATACTTAATGGGTTATTTTGGATTAATTTATATTTTATTTAGTTTATGGCACTATGATCTATAATTTTAGGCTGAAAAAAGCATGGAAATCGTGGTTTTTATTTTAATCCATACATTACCTATTTTTCTAAGTTAAGTAGTTACTTATTGCTAAATGTTGAAGATGATGGTGAAGTTTTGATTTGATATCTATAATATTCAAATATTTAATTTAGTTAGTAGGAAAAGCAATAACATGGATACCTATGTAGCAAAAACCACATTCTTTTAATAAATAAGTTTTAAAGTATTTTATTTTAGATAAATAGATTAAAAAGCATCTTATTTAAGAGGAAAAAAACCTCTTAAGACCACCGGAACCCTCAAGATAATAGTTGTTTTTTAAAATAAGATAATTGTAAATTTTATTTTCCAAAACATAGTTCTTTTATTCTTATTTACCAAAATAAGGTTGAATTTGCCATATTAGCACATAAATCCTTGTCACTAGTCCATGTCACCATACTTTTTCTTGATAATTTTTCGAGTTTCTCTTCCTAACATCTTGGAAAAAAAAAAAACATAAATAAGTAGTACATTTTTTCACAATAAAAAATACTTTTCATATTCGGGGAAAATTAAATTGCTCAACTCCTTGTTTGCTTTTCTAACACTAAAATCTCTAAATTCAGATAATGCATTTGAGTTAATTTTAGAAAGTGTAACCTGAAAGTACTCGACCTTCCAAATCAGCACCAGACAGTACTGATCATCGTCCGATAGTTTTCTCAGAGATTTTGATGGATCTCCGCTTCTTTTTCTTTGGTAAAACGCTTCTTTTTAGTCTTTCTGTCCTGTCTCCCTCCCCCTTTCTTAGCTGCAGATCTGATTTTTTTTTATTTTTTTCCTTATATGCTTTCTATTTTCACCATCCTAGTTGTTGATGGTTTTTGTTCTTTAAGAAGTTAGAATTTTTTTTTTTTTTTGAGTCAATGGCATGGCGGTTGACTTGATTTTAGGATTGATTGTGTGGGGACACAACAGTGGCTATGAATTTTTAGGTTAGGTAATTGGAAGGGTAAATGCATCGATGTAATGGTTGTATAGATAATGGTGAGTTGTCCCTCAAGGTTGTGATGGTGAGTGGATTTTGAGTTTCAAATCCTTCTGGTTGCAGTAATCTATTTTTTACAAAAATAGAGTATTTTTAAACTTAATTCCTCAAACAAGACACTTTTGGACACATGTCATCGATTTTCTTTTAAATTGTTATTAATACTTTGATTAAGACTTAATTAGAAAAATAAAAGGCTGTAAAACCCTTCTCTTCCACCAAAAACCTGGGTTTTTTTCTCATCAAAATTTACAAACATGCATGGCTAAACCAGATTTCTAGATTACAGACTTCAATCATCTCTATATTAGAATGTTTTTAATTTAAAGAAGATCACTGTCTCTCTAATTAATCAACCTAAAAAAATCAAATAAAAAAAAGAAAGAAATTATGTTTTGTTGTTTCAACTTTCCGCTTCCAATAGGCTAAAAAAGTTATGATTATCACACCACTTGAACCAAAAATTGAGAAAATCCAATTTCTTGCATTGTCCTAGACATATTTACAATTGTGCTATGCATGAATAAGTTCATCACTAAATGCGTTCTTGTCACTTGTCAGTGGTTTTTGACTATGTAAATAGTTGTTAAAAAAAAAAACCCACAAATTCAGTTAAACGAAATCTCTTTATAAACCCTAAGTTTGGAGAAAAGAAAAAAAAAAACAAAAAACAAATTCTGTTAAACATAAAAAAAAGTTCATAAATAAAAAATGACTAAATAAAATTAAAAATGCTTTAATTTAATAAATAAAAATTCAATGTATCTTAATATGAGAAAGAACTCGTTGCTTGTGTGATATATAATATGTAGTTTTGATAAATAAAATTAAAACAATCTTATTTTAAAAAATAAAATTATCAATCGACTTTATTTAAGAAAAAAACTCCTTAAGATAAATAAAAGGAATATTTAGTTGATATTTCGTTTGCTATTATATGTAATAATAGATGGATAAACTATATAAAGTCAAACACTCAATTATCAAATCTCGAAAAAAAAATTCAATTATCAATTAACGATTTCCAATAACTAGAAACATAATTCCAATTCCAAACAAGTATGAAAACGCAGCTTATTAATTAATTAAGGCTTCACTATGCCGCATTACAACGACAAAGTGCCACAGTACTCACGAAACCTTAATTATTTTTGGGCTAGAAAATAGAAATTATATCATATCACGATCAGTGGTAAATCATGCCACGATCATTGCCACCACAGCCACAGCTGCCACAAAAATCTGATAGCAGGAAGCAGCAAGTCCATAAGCAGCATTAGGTGGAGCAGGTGCAGTAGGTGTAGCAGGTGCAGCAGGAGTTGGTGCTGGAGCTTCACTCCCCACGACATTAATGACCAGCTTCTGGCCAAGCTCAGAACAGTGATTGCCAATTCCACAAATGTACCATTTCTTTCCTGGGCTTTTGAGGGTTATTATGTCATGTCCACTGATCGTAGGTTCTCCAGAAGGTACGCAGTTCTTAAAGCCATCTCCATCCACCTTAAAGAGATTGTGTGGTGGCTGGTAGTTGAACACTGCAAAAATTTCGTAAAACATTAATAACATCAAAACTTCCCCCTTTTTTCTTTAAAGAGCTAGCAAACTTTATAAATATATCATTTAGTACGTATTCTGTACGTAAAGTAAACTGATATAGATAAATTTACCTAGTGTGTCACCAACTTGAAACACTTTGCCACTAGCCCAAGCTGTGTAGTTAAAGTTAACAGTCCACCCTTTATCATCACCAACAATGTGTTCAGTTGCCACGGCAAGGGTGGGAAGAATAATCGTGACAAGGGCAAAGGCAATGAACTGGTTAGAAGCCATTGGAGATGAGCTAATTTAATTATTAAGCTAAAATGTGCTTAATTTCTATATATGTCAGCTCCAATGCCGGTTTGGTTAAAGGAAAACATATAGGGGTCCTATTTATAGTTGACTTTCTTTAGGGAATGCATAGAAAATCTCGAAATAACATCACTGGCATCGGTCGGCACTAGAAATGACTTTGGGTTATACGAACTAGGCACCAAAAGGTTAAAAATAGTTTGATTTATCATGGCCGGAAAATGATGATACTTTTGGCTGTTTCTTTGAGTGAACATTGTTAAATATACATACTTTAAATGTTGTTTATGTTAATATTAGGATGTTTTGTGTATGTCTTACTCATTTTGGTTGTCGATGGTTTTGATGTAATCAAACCCAAAGATAATATATATCACTTGTTGACCAAGGTCTAGATATGAGCTGTACTCCTCCTATAGGAGGAATATTCGTCTCCAAGCACGTAACGTTTCTTAGGTTTTTTCTTTTTTCCTCAACAATGAAAAGTATTTTTGGAGTAATTTTTATATATCGAAACTAGAAACTAAATCTATTTATCCAGTATAAATATTAAAATTGGAGGACTAGTCATGAGAATTTTATGTCATTTTTAAATACTGATAACTAAGAACTCTACGTACCTCCTTGACTATTACACCGATCCCCTCATAATTTTTTTCTTAGTATATATATTAAACATTTTTTAGAGAAAAATGGAGCACGCTTGTATATGCCAATTCCAATCTTTTGATTAAAATTCATATGGTCAAAGCTTAAGAAAATGCATTCGGACATATATTTTCTTGCGCCGGCCACGAGAACAAGGCTGGACGAATAAAGTCTGAAAGAAAAAAGGCACAATTTTTATATACATTCTTCGTTCAAATGAAACACAATTTGACTAAATTGTAACATCCGGCAAAAAAAATTGCCATTTGTATTACATACAAGATTAAATTGCTACGTACGTGATAAAAAATTTAACTGAAACAAATAGAAAAAAATGAAAAAAAATAAAATAAAAACACATAAAACTTTTCCTAACCGAGCCGAAAACTACATATTAAAAACTAAAAATTTCACCAACATTCATAATATTAAATAACGACGTTATCCAAGTAGAACTTTTTCTTTTATTTCCAATTGAACTGTTTACTTTTAACTGAGGCTATCAGCAACCTTGGGCAATGAAGAACAAAATTTATGAGATTGGAAATGAAACTACTTATTTCTTTTCCATTTTTTCTGTTATCTAAGCAGGCAAATAGAGCTTAAAGATATTCCCAAAATTCACGAAAAAAATATTTAATTTAGTAATCATCTCCCTCCTGCAGCTGAAACCACAAAAAAACAACAATTAAAGCTCAAACCAAGCAATTTGGAATTTTAAAAAAATATATATATAATTTCAGTTAAAATCACCAGAAAAGGTCAAATTCTCACTAATTTCTCTCTATTAAAAATTTCAAAATAGGTTGTCATTAAAAAAAAAAAAAAAAAATTCTGTCTCTCAACTTTACGAGGAACCAAACGGACCTGATCAGCGGCTATCCTCAAAAGAGTTCGCCTAATTTTAGAGTCAGTCTGCTCTGTGACTCTCAATCAAAAGGAATAAGAAAAATGATTCGGTGGTGGTCTGGTGCTATTGGTGCTACCAAGGTAAGAATTAAACAACCCTCTCCCTATGTATTATACACCCATCCTATCCACTCACATAATTATAACAGGGAAGACATATCAGGACTTAGCATCTCGATCTTTAGTAGATTGCCTCAGAATTTGAACTTTTTAATTAATTATAATTAATGATATATAAGAGATAGTGATATAGCAGCACAAATACGATAGTTAAAAAATAAATAAATAAATAAAAATTTACAAGCAAACTAATTAGAGATAATGATGTATAATAGAGTTCTTTCTAAATTCAAGATATATATAATTGTTACTTTTGAAAGAGCTGTACGCTCCTTCCTTAATTATCTACCTGAATAATACTTCGAACTTGTGAAGTCTAACACCTCTTCGGTATCAAACTAAGCTAATTAAAGTATATATATATGTATGTATTCTCTACAACAATTTCTCCCTTTTCTTCTTCTAATCTGAATGTACATGCAATTACAAATATTTTGGATATTCCGAAGATTTTAGAAGTGGGTAATGATTTGAAACAAAAACTTAAACAAAACTTAATTGCTAGAGCATAGCGAGAGCAACCAATGAGTTATTAGTCCAGTAACTATCAGTTGCATCAAATTTAAGCTAATTAGGCATGTCTGTTAATTTCAGGAACTTAATAGGTGTAGTACAAAGTACAATTTAAACACAATTTGTACTACTATATTGAAAGAAAAATATAACATCAATCCATTTGAATTTTTAAATAGTTTGTGAATTTTAATTCTTATATCTATCAAGAACGGAGTTTGATAAAAGATAAAAAGGGATAGAACTTCACTTCTTTTTAAAATGAATGAAGTGAGCCTTGTCCATATAAGAACTAGCATCACTTACAGCAGTCAGTATTAGTGATTGTTTAAAAAGGCTTATAAATACATGCATATTGTCCATCAATGGATTTTCTTAGCGACGTATTTGATTGAAAGTAATTGATCACATAATGTAATGATCCATTATATTTTTAAATTTATTTTTCTAATTTGATAAACCAACTGGAGGCAAAAAGAGATGAAACAACCAGACATGGAAGTGAACAAATTCAAACATTGAAATAAAGCCCAGCACATCTTGGTTTCTGCACATGGGCTGCTTACAAACTAAAATGACACGGACTCTATCTACCAAGGCCATTGCACTATTTACACTGGGTCCTATTTACATCTTCAATCCTAGCTAATTTCTTCTTTGTATCCGCTTCCTCTCTCCTTGTTGCCTTGCATAGATTGTTAATCCGTTACGCCTTGCTTCCTTGTGAGACCGTTGTCAATTCTTGCCTTTTTTAGATTCCCGGATAGGTGCTGAATTGTCACAGATATCGGAGTTTTTTCCTAAATGAATGCAATTTTAAATCTTTATTTTTTAAGAAGAATGCTTTTAAACTTATTTCTCAAATAAAGGTATTTTTTTGCCACATAAGATTTTTTTCATCCATATCGTTTTTTCTTAATTATTAAAAAATAATGTCATTATGTTAAATAACTTCATTTTTATTTTAGGTATTTCATTAATTAAAAAATATAAAATTACTAAGACTTCTCTTTTTAAAATAAAAAATAAAAAAAATAATCTTTTTAGGTTTAGGAGTCATCGCCGGCCGGATGATATCGTCACAAATCCTAAAACATCTTTTTGTATGTCTAGTCTTTACATATCAGATGATCAATTAAAAAACTACATATTTTATTAATTAAAGCTTCTCTTCACTTCAACAGTTACTTAATTAAAATATGTTTAGAAGAACAAGTGATTCTTGATATGGCTTCTTCAAGGATTGCATTTTATTGCTACCAGGAGGTAAGAAAACCCACCCAAAATTTAAAATCCTATTTTTCTGTAGATGACACATCTACTTCTACTATCAAGAAAAACACTCGACTGTTCAAGCTCCTCCAGATAACATCTTTAATTGTTTGGCATGAACATTGTATGAACAACAAAAGTTGTTTCGAAACACTTAATAGGACATTACAATATATCTCACTAATGAAAACAACAATAATCGAGATCGTCCATTTGGGGGGAAAAAAATACTTTTAGGTGGAGATTTTCATCAAATATTACATGTAATTTTCGGTTGTACAAAAGAATACATTATACGTGCTTCACTTACAAGTTCATTCCTCTGGCTAAAGTTCCATATATTCACCCTAAAAAAAAAAAAAAACATGAGTCTATCTGACAGAGGTCTGAATGATGAAAAAGGACTTTCCTTGAAACATTTTGTTGATTGGCTGCTTAAAATAGGAGAAGGCAAATTTTTAGATGCCTTGGCACCAACTGAAGATGATGTTTCATTTGTCAAAATACCTCATCAATTCCTTATCAAAGCATATGGCAGACCGATCGAAAACGTGATTTTTGTTATCTATTTGCAGCTTGATAACGTTGAACTACCAGATGAATATTTCAAAAAAAAAAAAAAAAAAAGGCTATAATTACTCCTAAAAACAATATTGCTCAGCATTATGATGCCGAGTTACATTGGGAGAGAAAAATAATAATCTTGGTACTGGTCTTCATATTTATAGTTTATTTGTGGTTGTATTTGAAGTGCTAAGGATTAATGGAAGGGGTGAAAACTATTGGAGGTAAGGATTTTGAGCAAATAAGAAAATTTAAGAAACTCATTTGACATCATTATATAGATGAAAAAGTTAGAAAGAGATAAGAAAAGGATAAGAAGAAGAAGAACATACTAATACAAAGAGAAAATAGTAAAAAAAGATTAACTGTGATGATAAAACATTTATTTAACAAAATGATTTTAAAAAATGACATATCAAATTATATAAATGAGATGGTTCCTATGTTACATAGAGTATTTTATTTTGATAAATAAGTTTAAAACTATCCTATTATGGTAATAAAATTTAAAACTAACTTATTACGAAAAAAAAAACCAGAAATGGCAGCTGTACTAGCCTATAAATAGGCCCTTCTTGATCAATAAAAACTAAAGCCAAAATTATACACAAATAGTTTTCTCCTTTTTTATCATAATTTTTAAAATTGTAATTTAATAGCTTATTATAATTGTGATGACTCATTATATTAAAAGCATTACATAAAAAATAAAAAGCTATGTAATTAACCATTACTGGATTAAGAGCAATTTTATGGGGTTCTAATTGTAAAATATTTTATAAAAATAACTAAAATGTAATTTAAAAAAAAAGGACCGAACTTAGATAAGGACCAATAAGGGACTAGAATATATATATATACATATATTGAAATATAGGGATTGAAATGAAACTTATGAAAGCCTCCCGTATGTTACTAAGAATTTTTCAAGCAAACAATTAAAGGATGTATTT